TGATAATGTGTGTTTGAGAATATTGTATGGGTTAATATTTTAACAAAATATCATCAAACACGGTAGTACAATATTGATCTGGATAACTTTTAGAACTATTATGATAATGTTTGTTTGAGAATATTGTATGGGATAATATTTTAACAAAATATCATCAAACACAGTAGTACAATATTGATCTGGATAACTTTTAGAAATATTCTGATAATGTGTGTTTGAGAATATTGTATGGGTTAATATTTTAACAAAATATCATCAAACACAGTAGTACAATATTGATCTGGATAACTTTTAGAAATATTCTGATAATGTGTGTTTGAGAATATTGTATGGGTTAATATTTTAACAAAATATCATCAAACACGGTAGTACAATATTGATCTGGATAACTTTTAGAACTATTATGATAATGTTTGTTTGAGAATATTGTATGGGATAATATTTTGACAAAATATCATCAAACACGGTGGTACAATATTGATCTGGGTAACTTTTAGAAATATTCCGATAATATGTGTTTGAAAACATTTTATTGATTAATATTTTCACAATGTTTTTGATATATTTCGTTGAAAATATTGCTAAACACATGTATATAAAATGTTTCAAAAATATTAATATCTTCCAACTGCTGTGTGGGTATATATTTCACAAAATAAAAATAAATTAACCTTAACATTTATAAAATTAAATATAATTTACAAATATATTATATTTATGTATAAAATTAACAATCGAGCTTAAAATGTCCATGAGCGTAGGTATGTATTCTATCGGCTTGTGCTATCCGCTTATCATCTTGTCGGTTGAAGCATAATTTTTCGGATTTGATTGTTCGTACCTTATGGTTGAATGATCTGAAGGATACATTTTCCCTGGTATACAGTTTAGAGTTCTCTTTTTCGTCGTCGGCGAAAAGGCAATCGAAATGATCATTGAAAGTCATGTGATTTTTAACTACATGCCCTCGGACGCATTTTGCCTTAATTTTCTCCTTGTCGTTGAAAATGTAAGCGTATGACTTTGCTTTAAGCGCAATAAATTTGGTAATTGGCTGTCCCTTTGCCTCATCGGAAAACAATCCTGGAATTTTCTTTCGTTCGGCAATGTAGCATGGATGGTCTATCGGTAAATCTGAAGTATCCATCCGGTCAAGTAAGTTTGAATTGCACTTCAAATCTTTGTAAAAATCGTCAGTCTTAATATGATATATCAGTGAATCTAGAAAAAAAAAAAAAATAAATATAATGTTTGTAATAGAAAAATTGAATAATAATTATTTACCTGTATCTGTATACATGAGGTTGATTTTATTACCATAATGCGCCTTCATTACATTGAAATGGTAATCGTACATCATGGTTTTACTGATGTCCAATACTGCGAAACCTAAAAAAAATAAAATAAAAATGATAAATAGGTATTAAAATATGAATTTTTTTTTTTTTTTTATGCAATTAAAATTGTTACCTATATATATTGGCTTGTTAAACATGATAATTTTGTTTTCCAATGAGATAGCAGCAAGATTTCCACTGTATGTCGTACAATGTTTAAATGTTTGCTTGTTGATGAGTTTTTGTAATCTTTGTGGACATGAAACTAGCTCCATCTTAAAACGTTTTCTTAAAGATTCTATGGTATCCCAAAAACGGCATTGTTTAAGAGTTTAAAGAAATCCTTTTCGAATTCATTCTTCGCGTTTTTTCTCATTTCGGTGTTTAATTTAATGTATTTTACACTCTGCCTATATCTGACGTCGGCGTCAAAGCATCTAATCCGTCTAACTTAGGCTCTACCCATTTAAAGTCACCGTATGGCATGTGCTGTGACATTGCCCATCCGTACAAATTGTTACAATCTTGGTAAACTATCCATGACTTGGATTTTGTTAGGTCATAATCTTGGATTTTTTCATTATTAGCTTTAGCGTACCTCATACTTGCTTGTGTGAGGCCACCGCGGATTGAATTTTCGAAAAATAAGTGGGTATCAAAATCAGAGAGTAATTCTAGTTTGACTTTGGTATATTTCAACATACAGTCAAAACTAAAACCTGGAGCTGTAAAGTAGTAAACAGGGTCTAAATTGTACGTAGAAATGCACATGTCTCTGAAATTTACGAACACGTCAGCCAACAGCAGCACGTCAATTTTTAGATATAAATCACTATATTCTCCTAGGGTATTGCATTTGAAATGGTTCCATACTGTGACTGCGTGTTCGTATTCCTCATCGTCTATATGTGATTCATGCAGTGAACTGTAAAAATCTTCTTTTCGAGGTAAAATTGTTTCTTCTAACTTTTCCCAACTATCGGTAAATTCGTAAGGGTATACACCCTTACGTGTGACGAGATTCATATCTCTGGGTACGAATGCTTTTGATGTTTCTTTAAACTTCTCGAACCCTGGTGTTAATAAATTTTCTGCGAGTGTTGATAATTTTGATGCCATGAATCGACTAGAGTCTATGAATCGAATTGAAAAATTGTTGGTAACGTGTTTTGAAAATGAAATGTATTTTTCTTCGCTGTTCGGAATCACTGAGATTGATTTAGTGTCATTTCCGAGTTCGGTCACGATAAAATGTGCATCGTAATTAGACATATTGTGTAGGACGCACGGTACAAAGTTAGGTTTTTGGAGTTTCAGGTTGCAAGAATTGCATAAAGTTTGCCTAAATTGTCCTGATAGATGGCAGTGATCTGCCACCTTTTGGTTTTTGTTAGAAAAATTACATTCACATAGATTGCATGTACTTTTCGATACATGTGCTATTTGCTCTTCTTCTGTCATTATGATGGGTTTATTTGTTTTAAGTAAATCTTGAACTCTTCTCGCGATCTCTGTCACTTCATTAACGAAACGTTTGGCTATATCCTGGTGTGACTCGCTTCCGCGATGAATAATAGTTGATGTTGGTATCTCATATTTCTCAAGCAAATCGACGGGGACGCTTTCTGAAGCCTTTACGAAAAGTCCATAGCTCATTGGCTCGTGCTTTTGAAAAGCTCCTGTTTTCTTGTCTTTTATTTCGTCACATTTAACAAGGAGTGCCTCGAAATCGGAATATATAGCGAATGGATGTCTTTGAGCGTTACTCCACCCATCGAACTGTAATAATGTACCGGGCTCAGGCATATTAGGTAGAATTGGCTTATGTGCTCCACATAGCATCCAACCGTATAAGAAAGGCTCCTGAAAAAAATTATTGACAAGTGATACAAACAGTATTTAAAATAATATAATAATGGGTATTATTATGTTTTAATTTTTAACGTTTTTAATATTGTATTTAGTACTATTATTGTACTATTAATATAGTTTTTATTTGTATTTTGTACTTTTGGTACCTTTTATTACTTTATTTTCAAATCTATTAATAACTATTACTTAATGTTTCTTACTGCTTCTTACTGCTATGAGAAAAAGTTCTTATTATTTTATAAGAATATAATTTTCTAATATAAGTATTATTTTAATATTTTCATTTTTACCTTTTTATATTTGTATTTTGTACTATTTAAACATTTTTTTTAAGTTTGGTATAATATTATAATTTAATTATAACCCTTTTTTTATTTGTATATGACTTATAAATTATTCTTTTTATTTTATTTAATTTTCACAATGTATTAATAACTTTTATTTTATGCTTCATACATATTTTATACAATAGTGTATTTCTTAGTATTATATAATTATAACTATTATTTTATAATAGGAATTATTTTTACCATTTTTTATTTGTATTTTGTACTAGTTGTACTTTGAATAATTTCTAAATATAAGTTTGAAATATTATAATTTTATTTACTCATTAAAATTTTTCATTTGTAAAGGACTTTGTTCTTTTTATATAATTTCATTTTTACAATGTAATAATAATTTTCATTTTATGCTCTTTAGGTTAGACTGAAAAATAAAAATTTAAAAAAAATATATGAAAGGTTACTTCATCTTCACCGTCTGAAGATGTAGTCATGATAGATCATGACCTTTCATATATTTTTTTTAAATTTTTATTTTTCAGTCTAACCTACAGGAAACTAACCTCACCCAACCTACACGAAACTAACCTAGTGTTTCTTTTTGTTAATATTTCGAATTTTGTTAGCTATGTATTAAAATAACATAGGAAACGGTAAATAGCGAATATATTATGTATAACAGTTTATGATGATAATGATAATGATTATAGGTACATGGTTTTTATTGAAATTACAACATTTGTAAATGAATTTAGTATGAAAATAGTTTATATATGAATAAATGCATAATATAGATACATCAATTTGATTTTTATTTGAAAATCTGCTGATTTTAATATTAATTTGAAGTTTGTAAATATTTTCATTGAAAATATGATATTATTATACAAATATGCGTACTTATCAATTATTTAGAGTAAAATCGAACACAAAAAAAGCTATATTTATATCAGCGTTGTAGACTGTTAAAATTATACATTTTTGTGATATCTTTATTATTTACGTATCGTCTTATTAAGATAGTTTTATCAAGAGATATATATAGGTATATATAGTGTCTATATGTTTTGGAGTATAAAATATGTTTATATTTACGATCAGTATGTTGATATTTACAACGAATATAGAAATATAATAGTATGAATATATATTATACCTATAAAATCAAACTATGACTAATTATTTAATATCTACTATACAATATGGCAAGATATATCCTAACTTGTGATGGTAATATACATGTGTTTTACATTATTTAAACAGTAAATAGAATAATGTATAAAATATTTATGCATCTAGTCGAAAAACTTCAAAATAAATTCCTAGTATTTTCCCTGAAGAGGCACTCTCACAGGCAGAATTTCTAATATTTTTATATAATATTTCTATTATATTTCTAATAATTTCTAATTCGGCACAGGAGAAGAAGAAGAAGAATGAACATTTTAATCTAGCCTTTGGATATCCTAGATCTGACACATGAAAATCTTGTGACAAATATAAGGTTATGGTTGTTGCAGAAAAAAATTTAGAAGTTAAACATCAACTAGAGCTTGAAAAAGAAATTCACATTAGAAAAGCTGAAGTATTTTATAGTGGTATGAAAACCTGTCGTATCGAGGCTAAGGAACACAACGAGGTAGAACTTATAACTTTTGATTACCAACAAAACATGCCACTCCCTCATGTGCCATGTGGTGATGTTTTCTACAAACGCCAGCTGTGGTCCTACAATTTTTGTATATATTCTGGAAAAACTGGACAATCATTCCACTTCATGTATGATGAAACAATAGCTAAGAAAAGTCAAAATGAAGTGATCAGTTTTATTTACTATTATTTCAAACACCTTTTGAAGCCAGGTGTAAAAAAAATGTATATTTTTACAGATAATTGTAGCGCACAAAATAAAAACAATGTATTGTTTCAATATTTAAATACTATTGTTAAATTTAAAATGTTAGACATTGAACACATCATACATAGGTATCCAGAACCCGGTCACAGTTTCCTATCTTGTGACCGGTATTTTGGTCTTATAGAAAAAGTTAGACGAAATACCGAAAGAGTTTATTTAGATGAAACATAATAAACAAATGGTAGAAACTACTTCAAAAAATGTTCATGTAATTAAAGTTTCTCAAGATTTTATATATAATTTCAGCGAGTATACCAAGCCTTTTTATATAAAAATTATTATTTATATAAACAAATCAAAATTTACTATTGTGGCATAAAGATACATGGAATATACATCAGAGGGTTTATTTTGTAGTATTTCTGGACATTCTACAGGGAAAGAAAAATTTATCCTTGAAAAACAGGAGTAGACAATAATATACAATGTTAATGTGCAACTATTCCTAAATTATTATAGTGCGGTCCACGAAAAGTAGGCCGCGATCGACATGCCACTAGCGGCCGTTTTACGGTATGGGTCTCCAAACGTTTTCCCGCCTAATATAATTTCAAATCGTGTAATGTAGGTACTATATAATGTAAAAAAAAATATAATAATAAAGTAAACATTAGACTACATTGTTATATTTTTTTTTTACAATTTTTTTAATAAAAAAAGTCACAAATTATAATAAAAATATATATTTACAAATAGTTACAAAGTCGTTGTCTTAATAAAATTTAATAAGGTAATTCGTCATCATCGTTTTCGTCTTCATCAGTAGAACTGTCATCGGGATTTACTGTAACTATGATGGGCTCTAATATTTTATCCTTTAACCCTTCCTTTATGAAATCTTCATCTCGGAGTTTATTGCAATGTTCGCCATATTGTGTCCAAGCCTCTTTGGTGATCTCATATAAGGCATTATTTACCAACACTTCAACATCTGCCATTTTGAAGGTGCCGTTTTTTTTGGCGACTTCACCCTTGACTTGCTCCCAAATCAGCTCAATTGGGTTATACTGACAGTGATAAGAAGGGAGTCTTACCACTTCATGACTTATTTGTAATGCGCCTTCATCAAATTACCAAGGGAAAAAGTAAGAATCACTCGTGTCGAGACGCGATAAAAAAATTGAAAAGCAGCAAGAGTTAAAATGATACAAAATCCTTCGACTTAAAATTTACAGGAATATGCAGAATTTCGCGCAAGGTCAAATAGAATAATAGGCAAAAGAAAAGAGCATCAGAAAAAAATGCCCTAAATGACATTGAGACATATAAAAAGGACCAGAAAATGTTCTTTGAAAAATGTAAATCAATTAAAGAAGGCTTTAAATCTCGTACCTATCTTATGACTAATGACGATGGCAACCTCATATCAGACCCTAAAATGATCATAGACAAGTTTCAAACATATTTTGAGAATCTATTAAATAATAAATCAGACTATGAAACAAACAATACAGATGGATCTGGAGAACCGGCTGAGAATCAAATATATGTTACTGTGGAACCAGAAGTGCCGGAACCTAGTTTGGAGGAGATTAAATAGTGGAGTCACTGAAGAACAACAAAGCTCCAGGAGAGGACAACATAAATCCGGAGTTACTCAAACTTGCTGGCCGAGACCTTCTGGAAAACTTACACAAAATCATCTCAACTATATGAGAGCAAGAAAAACTAGAAAAAGGGTTGGAACACCGCTATTATTTGCCCAATTTCCAAAAAAAGGACACCCCAAGAAAGTGGAAAATTACCGTGGCATATCCCTTTTGGACACTGCTTACAAGGTCTTGTCAATAGCCATTTTACATAGACTTGAAAAATATTCAACAGAAATAATCGGTGAATACCAGTGTGGTTTCATGAAAGGAAAGTCCACTACTGACCATATATTCACCCTTAGACAGGTTATGGAAAAATATTATGAGTATGACAAAGATCTACACATGATTTTCATAGATTTCCAGCAAGCTTATGATAGCATTATTAGAGACCGGCTATGGTTAAGTTAATAAAGTGCTGCAATTCTGACACGTTTTGTAAAGTGCGCTTTCTTGGAGAAACATCAAAGGAGTTTGAGGTCAGATGTGTATTGAAACAAGGGGACGCGCTATCTCCCGCTCTCTTCAATCTAGCACTTGAAAAAGTCGTAAGAGATATGCAGGGAGACCGAGAAATGGAAGTACTGGGGCACTCATCTCTCTTAGCATATGCGGATGACATTGTGTTACTTGGAGAATCAAAAACGGAATTAGAAGGGACAGTACGAAAGCTCATACTGACAAGTAAAAAGATGGGCCTTAAAATACCCAAATGAAAATAAAACTAAGTATATGCTAATGAGCAGACAACCTACTCCGTTACAAAATGTGAGCATTGATCATTTCTCTTTTGAGCAAATCGAAAATTTTAAGTACATAGGCGCTAATATAAATCATAAAAATAATATGCATAACGAGATTAAGTCTAGGATAAGTACAGCAAACCGTGGATACCATGCAATGAGAAAAATGTTCACATCGAAACTGCTATCTAGAGACACAAAGAAAAAACTATACATTGCCTACTTGCACCCCATTGTTATGTACGGATGTGAGACATGGTCCACGACTCAGGGTGACGAGAATAAACCATTGACTTTCGAAAGGAAAATACTTAGAAAAATATATGGGCCTATATTAAACCCCAATACTGGTGTATACGAGCGAAGAAAAAACGCTGACTTAAACAGTCTGTTTAATACAGCCAATTTAAAAGATTTTCTAAGGTCGAAAAGGTTAGAGTGGGCTGGCCATGTTTGGCGTGCAGAGGGTAAATTGATAAGATAAGATAAGGTAAGGTACTCATCAACAAACCAAATAAAAAACGACCTGTAGGAAGACCAAGACAACGGTGGTTGGACCGAGTAAAGGACGACCTGAAGAGATTAAGCAATGGAGCAAGTATTGAGGATGCAGAAGATCGAGAACTTTGGAGAACTTTGGTAGAAGCTGCGAAGCGCCTAAATGGCGCGTAAAGCAACAAAAAAAAAATAAAAAAAATATGATAATTCTAATAATGTTACATTATTAGAATTTAATTTTATAGATTTTTATTGAAGGTGTTATCTGTTCGTTGGATGCCGGATTCTTCTTAAGTTTGGAATAGCTGAAAAATAAACTTATTATACAATTAGTAAAGTTTGTGTATTATAATATATTCTATTGTAGATGAAATGAAAGTTCATGTGCCGCTCAATATTATTATATATTCTCAATTAATTTATATATTATTAAAAATATTCTAAAAAATACTTAATTAAAAAAAAACGAGAGGAATTTAAAATTTGTAAAATTTAGCGAGTTGGAAATCAGAAAAAAAATACCACACATCTTCCTTCGAATTTATCAAAACTAAATATGGTGAAAAATTAACTGTTGTTTTAGATAATGAATTTAAACTAGTTCTACACAATAGACTTTCTGAATTATCAAAAAAAGGTGTTCAAGGTCTTAATTTGAATGACAATTACTTTTTTATTTATAACGGGAGGATGGAAATATTGACGAATAGTCATAAAAAACATTTGATTACATTTGAAAAATAGTTGTAATTTAATTAAATAATATTAACTTATTTTTAATGATAATATTTATATCTTTTTAGAACAATCTTACAATATGTATTTTAAAGAATCTAATATCTGCAATTGAACATGTGTATAGTAACATATGTCTAATAATTAATTAATTTCAAAAGATGGGAATCTTGAAAATATAACCACATTTAATATATAATATTTTTGAATATCCAAAATCCGCAAGTGTAATAATCTTAATAACGTTTACTCCTTAACATATACATATACTCATTTATAGAGTAGATATTATATTGAGTAACACTCCAGCACGCCTTTATCTTATCCATTTTATAGGAAAGTGGCAATAATTCGAAATCGTTATTAGTTGTATTATATTCAAATTCGGTTAATTACACTTACATTCCCATGGACATTCAAAAACTAACATATATATTTAATGTTTAATGTTAAACGCTCCGATACTCATCGGATATAATATTACTATATTATTAGATTATAATAGGTATTACTCAAAGACACGGCTTTAGATAGAATGGTTGCACATCGGGCTATACTACGCAATGTTAGAACGCGGTGTACGAGAGTTCTTATCTAACATACGAAAAAGTGAACTACTACTAACGCTCCCGGTGGTTGTTAATTGGAACCACGGCTATATTTAGAATAAAAAATATTAATTTTTACAATAGGCACTACGCACAAATTATGTGGATTTAAAAAAAAATTTGAGACGGGGTTATTGTGTATTGTGAAGTGACCATGCATAACATTGATGGATCTTCATAGCAGTTATTTTGTTGATGTTTTTTGTTAATTCACACTTAATTTTAATAGTTTGATATTTGTAATTAAAAATGTTGACATACCTAGTGGATAGCCTATTCTTTGTATTTTAATTTCATAATTTGATGAGTTTGAACCTCTAATGGATTATCGGATTATACTAATTAGTACTTTTTGAATACAACAATATAAAATAAGATTACAATTTTGATGATGTATATGAAAGCAACTAGATAGCGGTGTAACGTAACTTTTAACAGATATCTGATAAGAACAATTGGTGATCACAAAATAATGACTCGTTGTGCAACCATTCTATCTAAAGCCGTGCTCATAGATATATAAAACAACTAGATAGCCGACTCTGTGATAAAGTCTCATAAGACCTATGAAGCCTGGCAGCCATATGCGAACAGGGCAAAATACGATTGATTAATCCATGAAATATTTAATTACTCCATGATTTTTTTAAAAACTGCGAAAATTTGATTTCTGAATCAGTCCGATTAAGAGGACGTTGCACGGATATTTGTTTTTTCCGACTTACAAGTGCGTACATCGCACATTTTACGCTCAGCTGATCACTGATTAAGTAGTTTTCGAGTTTATCAATTATACACAAACAAATCTTTTCTCTTTATAATAATAAAATAATGAATAATTTCAAATCACGGAATACCATAAGGTACTGTATTGGGTCCTCTTTTTCATTGTGTTTATTAATGACTTATTGAGTATTAATTGTAATAAATCAATTTTCAGTTTTACTGATGACACGTCAATTATTATGGATGACATAAAGAAAAATAGTATTCATAATAAATCTACTCGTGTATTAAGTATTGTCAAAATATGATTATTTTGAATTCCGCGAACTCCGAGCGTATTTTATCTGTGACGACATCCCCTGCAGTTGAACTAATTTTGCTCAAATGACGAATTATCGTTGTTATTTGTAATTCAAAATCATCTCGCAAATTCTCAAGAGTAGTGTACATTATTTTAAATTTAGTAACACTGGTTTTCGTAGCTTTTGGATCCGAAAGTTCCAATCCGGCGTCATGAATACGCTGTATTCTCTTTTGCAGGTCACCTAGACGTAACTTAGCTTCCTCGTATACACCCATTGTATAATTAATAAATTAAATACCTTTTTAACGACGTATCGGACGGATTTGCGTAAGTACAGTAGTAGAAGGTTTTTCTATCACAAACGACAATGTCGTAATAGTATACGGTATAATTATAATTATAATAATTCACGGTCATTGTCGTTATATATATATATATCGGTGCGATAAGCGGAGTAGGTCGCGTTCGGTTAGTGATCTTGTCCGTGGGTACTGACGACGGTGAAATTATCGCGGCGACGCGGCTATCTCAGGAAGGTCCAAAGTCCAATTCATAAATAATACGTTCTGTAGCAATTAATACGTAATACTCGTGCAGTTACTTATAACCATTACCATTACGATTCAATCACTTAGAACAAATAACAATAATAAAAATAACATACCATATTATTCATCCTAGGCTCGACGGACCAAATGTTCCTTAGGTATGTGGACTGTATAAATTTTGGGTATCGGTTTTGAAAAGGTAGGAAGGTAATCAAGAACTGGGCATAAACACGTAAATGAATAATTCAATTTTCTTGTATGAAGGGTTGACTACTATTCAAAAATAACTTGACAACACAACAATAATAAAAATAACAACAGGTGAACACTCATTACTAATAATTTGTACAGAACAAATAAACCGGCGCTTTCCATTACCGCACAAACATGACCCAATACCGCACACAAAAATAGTACGATACCGCACAGATTTATAAAAAGGTATAGCCTAATTCCGCAAACAACAAATGGTACGATACCGCATAAATTTATTAAATATAAAAAAAAATTATATAAAAATATATTTTTGTCATAATTTATAGTAGTATTAGTAATGGTAACAAAAATGTAATAATTTAAACATAAATGTTATTGTAGACACCTATATTGGTTTAAAATGTAAACCTGTTTTTTCTATATATTCCATTTCAGTTAGTTTGTTTGTTAATAAAAGCGAGTACTGATATACCAAATTGGCTTCTCGTTCCCGATCACATTTCCGCTGTATTGCTTCAGTTCCCTTCTTAATTTCTCGCATTTTCGCTTCATTATTTACTTGTTGGTCTATTAAAACATCAATCTAAAAATATAAAATAATTACTAATTATTACTATATTTTAATAATTAATAGTTTTCATACGTACAACTTGGAAAACAGATGGATGTGGCATATAAAATTCAAACCGAAGTTGACTGTGGTATGATTCAGCACCGTTAGTTGTTCTTTTTCATTAGGTTCTTCAGCCCACATTGAAGGAGGAAATTGTTCAGTGTCAATATAATTTTCAAGTACATAATTAGCAAACTCCGTGCACTTTTTATGTTTTGGAGCTTCAGATAAAATGTCATCAAAAGCATCGGAAACAAAATTTTCAGGTAAATACGGTAATCCGAAAAACATTTTAAGCCACTTTCAAATCTCTAAATTTTTATCTTTGTACTCTTTATGCAGTATTGGAATAGAATTTATTTTTCGATACCATGCTTGACATAAATGAAACCGGCATGCTTTAATTTTGATATTTTTAAACACATTACTCGCTGCAATATGAGCTCCGACTTCAAAATCAAGAAGTAATAATTGTGGATTTAAATTTGTATTTGTTAATTGAAAACATAGGTTTTTTAAATTTGTCCACATACGAATATAACATTTTAATGTTTTAGATGGCAAAAAACAAAATACTAACGGAACGTAGTGGCCTCTTGTTAAACCATGTATTGTATATTTCTGAAAAAAATGTTTTGGGCAATATGTGAATGTACCGTCGGCTAAAAGAGTTTCCGTATTGTCATTGAGAAATAATAAATTTGTTTTACAAGTTACAATTATTATTTCATCCTCTTCAAATACGTGAACAAAATCTTCGTTAGATTTATTCTCAATACAAGCAATTTTAACTTTTTGTATAGCATCGGTTATAGTTGATGGAACGGTAGGTAAAGTTTTGCGTCGTTCTCGATACATAGACTTTCCAAGAGCATTTATATTAGATGAACATACCTGAGAGTCTTCAATACTTGATAATTCTTTACGAATTATTTTTATTGGCTTTTCATATACATTTTCAATAGCTTTACGTTTAATAGCTGTACGAATTTTTTGTAGTTCTTTTTTTTTGTTCATCATTGTCCTCGTCGTGTTGGTGATCTTTGATATTACTGCGAATTAAAACCGTTTTTTCATTGTTGGTGATAATAGTTACATTACATGTTTTTTGCACACACCGTCAAACAATATCACCTGAACTTTTATTAGTTCTAAAATAATGAAAGTTATAGTTATCGAAATGAATAGAACTATTTCCACGGTTATTAGTAAAAAGTTTAAACATATTGATGATTCAAAGATCGAAAGACGACTAAAAACACACTACAAATTTGTACACTGCGAATACAATCTATTACAGATAAAGCTTAATAATGTCGTTATAGATAATTGTCGATAAGTGACGATAATCGTCCAAAATAAACGTGTGCGGAAATGGGATATCCAGTATTTTAAAATCTGTGTGCGGTTTTGTCCCATGCGTATTTTGCTCCCACTCGTTTTTCTGTGGGCCAGCTATCGCTTCATCACGATTTAGTGGTTCAACGAGATTGGCGACGAACGACGACACATTACATCTGATCGGCGCTTTTAATGTATTCCGATCACGTAGCACCATGCCACTCCTGTTGTCGACCGTTGTCAATTCGACCTTGACCTATCTGACGTCATTACTAAACCTTTATCCATCGCGGCTCCGCACGAAAATAAATTAAATTTTAGTCCTGGCACGTGCAACACGTTTGCCATGTCATTTTTATTCCAATTACCGTTTACGTATGATAATATATTAATATTACCTCTACCTGCTGCATACAGATTCGTCCCATCACCTATCGTGATTTGTTGCGTGTTGTCCAGTGGTTCATAACTTGAAAACCACTCTCGATTTGCGCTCATATGATCCGAAGCGCCCGAGTCTATAGTGCGTTTCACAACAACTGCGACTCGACGCTAGCGCGACTCGTGGCGGTTTTATCTCAAACCAGGGGTTCTCAATCTAGGATAGGAAATAAATAGCGTGCGTTTTTTCGAAAAAAATGGTAAGAGCAGCTGGGTTATGGGTATGTTTATTTTATGTACCGCTATTGTGTATGAGTAGGTTTGATACTCCCTACCGACCCCATGCGTAGAAATGTAGTCAAACAACAACCCATGTTGCAGCTACAGTTATTGTGCCATCCAGACTCCAGTGTGTAGTGCGTACTGTTGTACTGTTGTTCGTTGTTGACTATTCCTTACGCATTACTTACGTATTACGTCTGTGCGATTTATATATATTTTTAAATATAGTTAATTATTTATTTAAAAATGTCTTACCATTCAGTAGATATTCACTCTCAAGCTAAAAAAATGGTTTTTAGTGTATATTCGTATTTTAAAAAATTATCTAATGACTCGTCGAATCGTGAAGTAGCAAATTTTTTTCTACAAGCGCAACAAAAGACTTCTGAAGCATGTGGTATCAGCATCGGCAGTGTTAAAAGAATAACATCGGAAGGCTCTAAAGCCCCTTTAGATCCAGAAACTGAAGGACCGAAATTTACCTCTCCTCGTAAAACGTTCAAACGAATTAAATTTGCTACAGATATTGATGACTTTGACCAAGAGGTTGTACGACGGACGGTCCACGAGTATTATGATAAAGGTGAGTTTCCTACATCCATAAAAATTTTATCTAAATTCCAAGAAAAAACTGACTACAAAGGTTCTAAAATGTCGATGTGGAGAATTTTGAAGTCATTAAAATTTAGGTACAAAAAATGCAATGACGGCCGTCGATTTCTGATGGAGAGAAACGATATTGTCGCTATGCGTGTACGGTTTTTGAGACAAATGGTTATCCTCCGTAAAAAGAATGATGTCCGACCAGTTGTCTATTTAGACGAGACATGGGTGAACCAAAATCATACAAGGAATTACATTTGGCAAAATTCGGAGGATAAAGAAGGATTTAAAGTACCGACAGGCAAGGGAGGTCGGATTATTATTTGCCACGCTGGTTCAAGTTCATTTGGGTTTGTGAATAATTCAAAATTAGTATTTCGTTGTAAATCGGGTCCATCTGAAGACTATCACTCCCATATGAACTCTGTTATATTTAAAGACTGGTTCATAGAAATGCTCAAAAATTTGGAAGAGCCATGTGTCATAGTTATGGACAATGCATCATACCACTCTAGTCTTGTTGATAATTATCCAAAGAGTAATGAAAAAAAAAAATCAATGTCCAAAAATGGCTACAAGAAAAGGGAGTTCAGTTTTCACCCTTGGAAACGTTGCCGGAGTTACGAGAGCGAGTCAAGCAGTTAATACCACAAGAAAAAAAATATGAGCTGGATCAGATTGCGTTGTCAATGGGTCATGAGGTTATACGGCTACCTCCGTATCACTGCCAATATAATCCTATAGAGCTAATTTGGGCGCAAGTAAAAGAAAAAATCGCCGAAGAAAATACAAGCTTTAAAATCGCGGACGTCGAAAAATTGGCTCACGATGCATTGGATTCCGTAACAGTTGACGACTGGAAGAGGTGTGTGACACATTGCAATAAACTGCAAGACGATGATTACGTCAAAGAGGGCTTACGTGACGAAATTTTGGAACCAATTATCATGACAATAAATCCAGAAGATAGCAGTGAAAGCGAAGATGATGACTATTAATAAAAATATATATATACATATTTATATATACAAACCTAACCATATGTAAATATTATGTAATATAGATACATGTAATTATTTTACATATTTTTATAGTTTTAAGTTATTTAAAAACAATTAAGTGTAACATAAAATATGATTCGTTGATTATCTTATTTAATAAATGTATAATATGAAAAAGTGTAAAATATTCGATATCAATTTTAAATTTGTCGCGGATTATTACGCGCTAGCCTTAGAAACCCTGATGAAAAAACACCACGAGGCGCGCTAGCGTCGAGTCGCAGTTGTTGTGAAACGCACTATAGTACACCCACGCATCTGTTGCAATGTTATTTATACTTGACTCGCTTACGAATGCGTTCAAGTTCGCACCTATCGTACCGGTTTTACCACCGTGTACACTTTGTAGAAAATTTCTACAGTCTCTTTTATAATGACCTAGTTTACCACAGTAATAACACTTAATATTACTTTTATTAGTAAATTGATTTTTACCTTTTCCATAATTACGACTGCCGTTTCTTCCATCAGATCTGTTTTGAAATTTGGCCGGAAATGCACTCGATTTCTCTTGTTCACCAACTTCATCTTTGATCTGGATAACCCGTGATTCTTCAATCAACAATCGACTAGTCAAATTATTTATATTTTTACTTCCCGTTGGGACTGAATCCCAAGCACTGTAAAAATGATTATATTCTTTTGGTAGTGTCATTAGTATTTTTGTCATAACCATGTTATCCGTAACTGGTTCACCCGCTACTCTCAGTTTCCTTCCTAAATTGACCAATTTAGAAATATGCGTCGACATGTCATCTGTCGACTCCTTTGAATAACTGAAAAATTGCTGTTGAAGCAAATGTAAACTTGCCTCAGACTTCTGCTCGTAAATACTCAGCAGTTTCTCCCACATTTCCAATGCAGTCTCACAGATAATCAAATATTGTAATGGACCATCGTCCACTGATGTAACTATTATTTTCTGATTATTTTGCCAAGCGCTAGTATGCCTTTGCCAACGTGCTTTGGCTTCCTCATCGGTCTCTCCTGCCGACTTTTTTATAGGTAGACTTGGTTTCGTCCATTCACCTGAAACTATCTCACCTACTTCTAAGGCATTTAAAATGACCTTCATCTGGAACTTCCATAACGACCAGTTTTCCCCACATAGTTTTGTTATCTTCACCGTGTCTTCCATGACCGATGGATTCCCGTATACTTTCCTGTATAACAATTTATAACAAAACTTTACCTATGTACACTGTTCCGCCGTTTTCCGAAATCCAGGATATCTCCGACTGGTTGTAGTTTTCTGCGTTAATACAAATATAAAAATACTTCGATCACGAATCCACTAGACTGTATGTCTTGGTTATTGACTGGGCCCATAACCTGTTGAAAGTGAAGCTTGACGGACTAATGATGTTAGCATTAATATAATAAGTAATAACACAACAATATGATTATGTATAAGTATAATATATAATAACGTACAACTAGACAATTAAACTGTGACAGTACACACACATCGTATACTCTCTGTACAACGACGCCTGTGCAAGTGAATATTACATACATCAAAGGTCCTATATATATGCACGACCGAGGTCATGTTACATCCGTAAAGAGAGTGAGTCTTATGCTCGTACATAACTAGTTACTATATTGTACACACGTGTCATGGCTGACTACATATACTACATATTAATTGTATATTTCAACATAATCAAATAATATATTGATATCACTACATTAATTTAATATTAGTTTTTGTACAATAAAAAAAAAAGTTATAAGATTTTCAAATAGTGTAACTGTAAGACACGATTTTAGATAGGTAATTAATTAATTAAATTCTTAAATAGTGCTGTAAAATTATAATACCTATTATAGTATTATTCTATTTCATTTTCTACTATTATCATACAATATCATACAACATTCATATCATTCACAATATCACAGAACATTGAACAATATTATTTAAGATAATTGATAGGACTATCTTAAATCGTGCAATTGTGCATTATCACCTAAATATGGGTATTTATTATTTACTTTCTGCATAATATTATAATCATATTACCAGTCACCACGGACTATGATATACGTGCCAGTCACGGACTTATCAAGGTTTACCTTAGTCATTAGTGGTAATAAGATATAATTATGTGGTGATACCATTTTAATTTTTAAATAATTATCTGTGAAATTGTGATTAAAATAAATTTGTCATAATATATTTCCAGTTTTTATTTATCATTCATTGGTAATTCGGTATGTCCAATTAGTCAATAAGTTAAGAAATGATTAGGGTTCAAAGTAATTGTTATTTATTTTGTCACCTTGGGTTCAACGATATCAAATTTAAGATTAGCTCCTGGTCTTTACAATTATTGAAAATATTTTGAA